CCCCCCCCCCCCCTCCCCCCGCCAAGAGTCAACACGTAGTGTTTTGCCTTCTCTCATCAAACTCCTAGGACGGGAGGTAGCCTCCCTCCCCCCCGCCCCATCACTCACTCAGTGGTCCTCAGGGACCCCTCTCCCGGCCGCATAAAAGAAGCCATAGACCCGCCACGCTACAAATACACGTCATCATCAACCCAACCCGGCGGTGGCGCTAGCCTGCCTCCTGTCTGTTACGACACGAACGAACGAATCAAGACTACGCTCATGCGTCTTCACACCACTTGTTCTCCTCGCGGACCTGTGCCTCCTCCTCGGGGGTGAAGTCATTGACGATGTTGAACGTTTTGCGGATCTCTTCCGCCGTCTTGCCCTGTCAAGCGGACCAGGGCAGGGCAGGGCAGGGGGGTTAAGCCGGGGCAAACGAGAAGGTGCACGCAAATGAGAGTTCGCAAAGGCTACAGAACCGGAGACGTTTGTCCAACACAGCAGAGCTGAGGAGCAAACAAGGGGAGAAACCAACAAGTTGAATCCTCTTCCGCGACCAACCCGACGAAAACGAAATACACACACACTTGGAAGCATTTTCTGTTTTCAACCCAACTGAGACCAACGTCTTGTTCATTGGTCAGCCGGTTGGGGCCGTCGATGTCAGCAAACAAAACGCACACATACTTTCAGGAGCATGTTGTGTTTTCAACCCCACAGAGAATAACGTGTTTTCCGATGGTCAGCCGGTTATGTACCACGGTCGATTCGACCAACACACACATACACACCTTGATCATGGACGCCACCGTCGCGCAGGTGAGGTCGAGCAACGGCTTGATGTCCATGTAGTTGGCCGCCAGGATGAGCTCGAACAACGTCTCCTGCTGCACCTCAACGAACTTGGCGTACCACTCCTGCACCACATCGTGCATGTTCGCGCTCTTCAAGGGCTTCTCGATCTCGTTCATCGGGTCCTCCTTGTAGTGCGCGCAGAACTCGATCACCTGCCAAGGCAAGGACCAAAAAAACAAACAAAATGCGCCCCAACTCCGTGTGCGGTTGGGTGTGGATCAAGATCGTCGATCTCTCTTGTTCTGATCCCTCCTTGATTGTTTACAGAAATGGTGATTGTGCAGCGTGACTTCGATAGACGGGCTTGCTTGTGCCGTTTTGAGGGACCCCCTCTTCTCCTTGCCCTTCGTGCCAAAACTCTCCATTTGTCATAGTCAGACGACACCGAAAATTTCTGCGGGTACATGCCAAGGACAGAGACGGGTGTGGTGCCGAAAAACAGCGGAGCGGGTCCTACGTTGAATACCTACGAAACCGCTAAACAGCACCCGACATAGCAAGAACGACAACTTCTACATTCCACGTCCCAAGAAACCAGCATCGCACAGCTTCGAGCGTCCCTTGGTCTCTCGAGTGCTACGACCGCTCTAGAGGACAACATGGGAGTGTGTTCGTGTCAATCGATGCAAATACGCCCTTCTGTGTTGCTCTGATACCCTGTACTCCGGCACACACCTTCGACAGAACCGAGGCCTTGACGTTCGGCAGCGGGATCTCTTGTGCGTCGCCGTCCTCTTCTGCGTCCTCTGTTGCAATCATGTCGACACAAGGTCACGTTTAACGCAAAAAAAAAACACGTCGCACGCACGCAACAGAAGCACCACGCATGCGCCAAGCGAGGGAGAAACGGCGGACTAGAGTGGTCAGCGTTGACGGTGGTGGGGATAGCAAGAAGAGAACCAGCATCGCAGGGACATACGCGCTAGCCGGTTGTGAACGCCGAGCCATACAAAGAGAGCTTTTCTTCGACCGCACCAAACAAGATGCCCCTCTCATACCGATACACAACGGAAGAAACTCGGGGGACTTAGGAATGGACTACAGAATGCGCCACCACACAAACCGGTGGCTTGAGAAACGGATGGTTCGATCGTTCGATTCTCACAAAATATAAGTACCTGAACCCGACCCACACTAGAAAAATATGCATACTTCCTGTTGCTTTCCTCACTAATCGCGCAAAACGAAAGGACGTTGTTCTCTTTAGCGACAACCAAAGCTTGCACCCGAACAGGCACCGGATACGCGTGATTGATTCTGGACCCTCCATCCCCAACGAGGGGCGAATTCGTTCTGTTAACGATGAAAGAAAAAGGTGTGCATACAGAAGTGGTCCCGGTGTAAAGCCAGTCGCCCGGTATAATGCCGGTGAAATCGGCTGTGTTGCACTGGCACACGACCGGGACCGCTGTTGCTGTACTTGAATGCCCACCACCACGACACACTCCGCCGTTCTGGTTGTACGTGAAACCACGCCAAGCTACATGTTATCAATCGGAAGAAACAACGAAGGAATGGATAGACACGAAGGAGTACACTCCACTCATGCACGGGATGCAAGCGCTGCTTGTTACCGTCGATCATAGTCTTGACAAGGTTGCTCATCTTGGCCACGCTGACCTTGATGTCGAAGCTCTCGCCCTCCTGCGAGACGAGGTGCACCGAGCGGGTGTCCTGTTGCCCGCGGCCGAAGCGAGCGAGGGAGAGGACGACAAGAAGAGGAAGAGACGAGACAACAAGACGGAGTGAGGACAACAAAGACAAGAATAAACAACGAAAGAAGCGAGACCATGGGGTAGGGAGAAAACAATGGAGATGGAGAAATGCAGCGATGAGGGCAGCGGCCAAAGAAAAACAGTGGGGTGCTTTTCCCTCACCAGGAGACCGGGAGATGACGTAAGAGTGGCGCATGGACGATAAAAGCAGCCGATGCGGGGGTATCGATGCACGCAGTACAGGCGTGGCGGCAGAACCAACCGGAGGAGAGGACAAGAAGGGGCTCTATCAAACGTACAAGACAAAAGACACCTATTGCATATGTGCGTACTTTCTCTGAACAACGGTACCGTTCCATTACCGACAAGAAGGGGGGGGATATCTCTCCAGACTAAGGCGAGGCACAGGCAGAACGACGCAGAGTGAGCCAGATTTGGCGGGCCGGGCGGAACCTACTGGGGTGTGCAACCATTTTTCTGACAAGAGAACAACCAACACCAACAAAATCCCATTTCCTGTTCGCACAAATCCGCTTTTTCGCCGTCGGTCAGCCGGTGAAATGAAATGTAGTCGATGCCAACGAAAGGAACGCATGCACGCACACACACCCGCTGCTCATGCATAGAGCACACACACACACACACACAACACGCAAACTCTTCAGGGAAGGATACAATCCATACATGCGTACAGAACATACCTCGGTTTCATCGGCCGGTGCGTCGGCGGCCTGAGACTTCTCCTCCAGAGCAGACATTGTGATGTAATTGTGATGTGGACCGACTCGTCGGGAGGAGGCGAAGAGGACAGGTGCCCAGGGGAAGAGAAGGAGCGTAATGGAAGGGACCTGACGGGAGTCTGCGTCGCGTTTTCACGTGAAGGGGAGGGCGGGGGGGGGGTACTCTTACGTTTTGCATGTCTTAGTGGTTAGACCATTGACCACGCGTCATCGAGAGGACGGAGCATTGTTCCCACAAGACCGATCACCGATGGCCAATCGTTCCTTCCTACTTGGCCAAGGGCGGCGCAAAAATGACGGGGGTGTTACAATAGGAATAACAGGACTAAACCGTGTACTGGTACGCATACATGTGCATGTTTGTTCGCAATCGGTAACTCTCAGAAGGAACATGTGACCGATCACCGATGGCCAATCGTTCCTTCCTACTTTGTCAAAGGTGGCTCAAAAGTGACGAGGAGGGGAGGGGATGTTACAACAGGAATGACAGTATGTACTGGTGCGCATACATGCACATGTTTGTTCGCATTCTGTAACTCTCGGAAGGAACATGTGACAACGGACAGCAACACAGCAACAGAGAGTCGCGGCGTTACATTTCGTCGTGCCCGGTATCTTGTCGCTAACTGCGCAAGTACTTCTACTGAAACATTTACATCTCGAGGACATACTGCTGTAATGCATGGCGCTTTCATATGTAAGAAAAATAAACTACTGCTGTGTGTAGAGTTCTCAAAGCTCACGGCTGTGGAGACTTCTAACTTTCGGTCGACTGGTGCATTTTTTCGAAGACCTACCGGCTGATGTCTCTCTCAACGCAGCGTACTACCGTAGGTTGCATAAGATACCATACCCGTGTGACAACATTTTCGGGGGGACAAAAAGTTATCACACGGGTGTGGATTCTATAAGGGGTGTGATATCTCATGTCACCCGTGTGATTGAAGTGCACCTACAGAGCCCCAAGAGGAGGTGTGACATGAACAGGGGGTGTGATAACAATGGGCTGTGATACCGTCGCCTGTGATGAAGCGCGCTCACAGGACCCGGCTTACAGAGAGATAATATAACAAGGGGGTGTGATAACAAGGGCTTGTTGGTGCACGATGGTTCTCCGCAGCGCGGTGCTGCTGCATGGTTCTCACCAGTAGCCGCGCTCAGGGTGTTGGTGGTTGGCGGGAGAGCTCCCTTTCCGGGTGCGGGTGTGGGTGCTGCGGGAGTCTCAGCAGTAGGTTCTGCTTAGCAGGTTTCAGCGGCACCCGCGGTGGCAGGCGCAGCCGGTGCTGTGGGAGTCTCAGCAGCGGTAGATTTTGTTGGGCGGGTCTCAGCAGTCCGTGAGGTGTCATGCGCGGCTGCTGAGGGAATCGTCCCAGCAGCCCCTCGTACCCCCGTGGCTGGTTGAAAGAAGGACGCTATGGAGAGTGGGGCCGCCGCTGGAGTCTCAACCCACTGCAGTCTGAGCCGCGGGACTTTCAGCAGGGTTGTTAACTGCACCAACCTCCACGGCATTGTTGGCCTCCATGTTGCGAGTAGGTTGTTGCTTGTCATGCCCTCACGTTGTCACACCGTGTGACAAGCGGGGGCTCCGCTGATAATATGCGGCCCAAATTCAGGGGGTATGGTATCTTATGTCACCGTGTGAAAAAATGACGCTTCTTTCGGGGGGGGGGGGGGGGNGTTGTAAGCACTGTGTAACTGCCTCGAGGGTGCTTGACCATTTTAACACAACGTGGTGCGATCATCCCCCTTGCGCGGAGCGAGGGTTCTCGACCCCGCACAACATGATCTGCTCGGCCACCATTATGGTTACCGCCAAAAAAAAAAAACAGAGTTAAAAAAAAAAACCGTAACCTGGTTGCCGAGTTCACGAAGTGAATTGGCTTGTTTTACAACGTCGTTGCCAAGCGACGAAAACCCAATCCCGATGGTAAAACACCGGGGGGGGCGGCTTGTTTTACAACGTCGTTGCCAAGCGACGAAAACCCAACCCCGATGGCAAACACCGGGGGGACGCTTCTTTCGGGATTGAAAAAAATAGCACACGGGTGTGGTGTTGTGTACGTTGTCTGAGGGGGTGTGGTATCTAATGAAAGTGCGACATCATATGCAACCTACGGTACGGTGCTACCGGCGTTTGGCTATTGTACGTCGCAACCCAGCAGGGTCAGCGTGTAACGTTTTGGCGGAGAAAAAAAACAACTTCGCGGTACACTTTATTGCAACGAAAAAAAAAGGGGTCAGCGACCGTTCCGCAACACTTGTGGTGGTCAGCATGCTCGGCGGTGTTTCGTCGAGGTAACATGCAAAGACTTAGATTTGTAGATTAGATAGCACGAACTAGCGGAGAGCACGCAGGGACAGGACGCGAATTCCCCTTGACCACAAACTTCAAGTACAGCAAACGCGAGGGGAGCGGGCAGTTTGGAGAAAAAGCCTGCCTGCTGTTGTGTGATCAATAATTGATTGGAATTCACAACGATGCCACGTGCTGATTGTTCACGAGGCCACGCGGCCTAGACAAGAGAGCGAGAAAAAAAAAAAAGACAACGCTGCTGTAATACGCTTGCTCTTTGAGAGCCAACGACACCAACAATGGGTGAAAGGACTGCTCTCAGTTCATCAAGCCAGGAAAAGCGAATCATGCCACGGCAGCGCACCGCCGCATTCAGTAGTTGCAAAGGTGTATTGTGAGTGATGTAGGTGGATAGATACGTGATGGGAGGCAGCCCGAATTCCTGGAATTTCTCCCTGGGAATTTTGTGTGTGATCGTTAAAAAGGAGACCCGTTGCAGCAAAGTCTGAAGTAGCGCAGGGGTGACCTTGGTGTCGTGTGTGTGGAATCTCTGTCTCACGGAAACAGCAAAAAATGCCTGCTACTAATGCTGCTGCCTACAGCAGTTCTCGAGATCAACAACAGCTGTGTCTGCATAGGTGCCAGCAAGCACTGTGCCGACACTAGCTGTGCGGCAGTCAAAACAAAACATGATTTTCAAAAATGGAATCTTCCGCGCAAAAATTGCGAAGAAAAAAAAAGACGGGAGAAAATGGTGGTGTGTTGTGTGGGAGAGGGCCAGCAATACGATCAATCCACTGCTATCGACATTCGGCGCAGTCTCTTCCTCATTACTTCCTCTTGGCATTGGCGCCAGGGGAAAGCGGGTGCCACACACGGCTAGCTGTCACCTCTTCCTTCAGAAGAGCAGAAAAGAGAGTCGTAGCTGTACAGAAAAAATGGAAGACCTGAGCGGGCTTTTGCAACGAAAGCACGTTCCACAAAGGTTTCGGAAAAAGAGGGCGTGAGAAAGAGAGCAAGGCACACCTCCCATTCCGCGCGCAACAAAAGGACGAGGATAGACGTCATGCCGACATTCCTGCGCGCGACGACGTGCCACCATTATTTGTACGGCGGAGAATCGAATCGATATCGGCGGTCCTCAGTCTGCGGTGTGTGCGCGGGTAGGTACCCAAGGAACGAGCATATGGAGAGCAGGCAAGCCACTTTTTTCTACAAAAATCTACGAGTACATCCGAAATGAAAATGGTGTGTGTTCTAGGCGCACCAATATCTCCACCTAGAACGAGGCGGCACCTTTGCAAAATGCGGCGAACGTACCTCGTCGACCGTCGACAGGAAGGGGCAGTACAGAGGAGAGAAGGACGAGCGTGTGCTTTATGCGGATTGGCTACAGGCCCTTCGAAAAATGTGGGGGTTCAATACAAGGCGAAAGAACACGGGCGGGGTTTGGGGACACAAAAGCTCCAAAGAATAATCACGGGAGACCCTATTTGCAGGATGGTCCTGCAACGAAATGCTGCAGGATGGAAAACGCCTCCAGAACCAACCCACCACAAACCCAGAACCAAGCAGCGAACCAAGACACACAGAAACACAGTGAGACACAGACACCTGCTCCACAGACCACGACAGACCACACAGGAGATCCCTCATGGATATTATCGGGAGGAAGCTGCCCTTGGGTGGAGATGACGACCTGCTTTCGGACAGCAGCAGCGTCGTCGAAGTAGAGGGCGGCGCGGACGATTCCACGAGGCAGCAGTCAAGCACACAAGACCAGCAGCAGCAACAGGAAGCTAGAGCAGGGGAAGGAACAGCAGGAGATTCAGGAATAGCCCCAGAGCAAATGGTAAGGGATGAATGCAGGTCGGCGAAGCAGGAAGGATGCAGGTCGGCGTCTCGACCCTAAATGGAAGATCAGACGAGCACTTGACACGCGATACGCGCCCGACCGACCGCCCACACGCCAATAGCATAATCATTCCTTACGTCTTTGTTCTAACGTCAACAGCAGTCAAACGTAGGCAGTAAAGAGCAACAAAGAGAAGCTTTGAGAGCAGCAGGAGCAGCAGGGCGCGATAACTCAACAGGAGATGTTCCGGGGGATGCCCAGGGAGGGGATGCAGTGAGGATCAACACAGAAGCAGATCGAAAAACAAATAGTTTTTCAAGTTTTGTTGGCATACGTGGGGCCGCATACGTGTACCAGGATGCACGTACTACTCTGTGTGCACGCGTTGAGGATTTAACCAAGCAGATAGAAAAAAAAATGGTACAGTACTACTGCTGTAATACTGCTGTAAGTGGTTTACAGCAGGGAAGACAAGCAGTCCGAATAGTATCACACACACGTTCAACGAGCCTTGGTTGTGTGCTTCGTCTGTCTGTCTTCTCTCCTATCTCGCTCCTGATGTCAGCAGATAGACGAAGGCGGAGGGAGTTCCTCGCTTGCGGAGAGAGGATCGGGGAGCGCGGAGCATTCGGGAAGCGTGGAGAAGGGAGCAGCACCGAGTAGTCCCACGAAGGTATGCTAGACCACCACTTGACTATATGTGCTTTGTTTGTTTTGGGTTGCCTTCGGGGAATGCATATCTTGCATCGTTTGACGCTCGGACTGTGCCGCCGTTGTCGGCCGACCAAAAAGACGTTGAAAGGAGCGCACGAGGGTAAACGTGTGCATATGCATATGTATCCCCATGATTACAGGACGTGGGCAGTGAAACAGAACGCCCCGTATCCCGGCGCTGCCTCGAATCAGCTGCTGCTGTAGCAGCAAGTAGATTTTGAGTAAGATTTCCTCTGCGGTTGATATTTTCATTGATTCACAGTTGAAAGCGACAGAGCTCGCGAGTAGTCACAAGTCTCCCACGCCGTCGGCCCAGGGAAGGGACTGCTGAACCCTTTCGCGAGTAACCGATGGCACGCACGGCAGGAGGGCGGTGGTGCAAAAACGAAGAGAACGAAGATAAGAAACAAAAGTGGGGTAAAGTGGGGAAAGGCAAGAGAATGAAAAAAATAAAGGCCGCTGTTCACCCCCTCCTTCCCTCCTGTGCGACCACGACGCACACGTCTGGTTGAACAGAGAAACACACCGGTTGGGTGGTACGCTGTGGTGGGAGGTAAACATTATTCGTGATGATCACGCGAAACTAATCCTTCACCCATCGGCTGCCATATGCCCTGTTTCCGTTGCCTGTCGTGCAGGAAAAATGGGTGTACAGCGCTGACGCCCTGAGGAGGGATCTCGAAAACATCCCCACACAGGAGGACATTCCCCAGCTAGTATCGGCCGTGAAGGACGTGTGCGAAGAGCATGGGGTCAAGATGGCCGTGTCCACCTCTACTAAGGAGAAGGGGGGCGGCCGACTGGTCTCGACGACGTTGCTATGCGTACATGGCATGCCGCTGCGCAAAAAAACAGCAAGTAGTGGTGAGTATAACTGCGTAATGATCCCCCTCTGCCCCCCCCCCCCCTTGTTTGCCCCGTGGGATTGTCGACTTAAGGAACACACACGTGATGGGGGTCGTCGCGAACTGGTATAGGGCACCCGCAGTAGGAACCACCCGATTCGGAAATGTGAGGGAAGTGTGTCACCTGGTGTATTGCATCAGTGACTATAGCAAGAGCGACGCAGATTCAGGCATGACGCGCGCTGCAGAGATGAACATGTTGGAGCTTGAGGAATATGTGTTCCATGCAACCTAATGTGTTTCAGTCGGTCTGCTGCCACTCCCCCACCCTTCACCTGTGCGGCAGGCAACAACACGAAGAGCCGGAAAAGCGACAGCCAGAGGACCGGCTGCGGCTGCAAGGTTGGTGCTGCGTGTGTGGGCTCTGCAGCCCTGCGTTGGAAGTTTGTTGTCAAGCAAATCCAGGGCTAGGAGAGACGAGGGGGGGGGATTAAACACTTCTTCTTTCATGTTGCGAGCATGGAAGATAGCACCTTACTCTCCTCTCGTCGTGTGTTTGATTCTACTCTATTTGAATCGGATGGAACGCACCAGCTTGTACACACGTGCGTGGAGGTTCTTGGTTTGTTTTGGTTGACGTCAGCACGAGGTCGAGATTGTTTTGTTGGGGTGGTTCAACCTGCTGGAAAACACCATCAACACGCTGGTTGTGGTTGCTGCGTGACTGTTGTGTCGGACTGACTGGCCTTCAGATCAACATTCGATGGCCGATAAAGACCGACGTCTACAAGCACCCACGGCTGACAACGATGGAGTTGGAGCACCTGCACGCCGTCGACAAAGAGGCTGCGGATGTTCAACAAGCACAGAAGGGACCATTGACTACCCCAATGAAGGCCACTTCAGCGAAGCTCACTGGTATGTCGTCTAGCCTCGCTGGTGATCTAGGTAGTGTCGTTGCCCGCCTCCGTTCCCCGACGTTGGGGGCGAACGTTTGTGTTTCGTTGGCATTGAACTATAACGACGTGCCGTATAGCTTGGACTCTTGCCGCCAGAGACGCATTGATAGGTTGACCTTGTGTCTTGATTATGGATGTGTTCCAAACGCCCCCCGAAGTTGAGCGATGGGTACTCTCTTTTGGTCTGGTATGCCTTTCCCACGGGACACAACGTGTCCTCCCACCCCCCACCCCAACCGGGGCACAGGATAAAATAGGGTAGTCGGAAGTTTGGTGTTTGGCCCAACGAGTGTGTTGTCCGTGTTGGTCGGACAACGTCGTACTTGACCCAACAAGTGTGTCGTCCACGCTACGTCCGTGCGTTTGTTATCTGTTTCAGATGCTGGATTGAAACCGGCCGCGCAAGCGGTCGTCATCGAGGCTCTGCATGACCGAAGAGTGCACCCCCGGACCATGCAGAACGATGACGACATCGTGAGGACGCACACCCGTTCGACGCTCAAGACTTGTTGCAGAAGGTGCGAATCGCCTTTTGTCTAGTCTTGTGGTCCTGAACACTTGCTTGTCGGTTGAGGCGTCGTGTTCAAAGCGATGGTTACAATGCGCCCTCCTCCATAGCCGATTACAGACGGCATGTTGTAACCTACCCTCCCCTGCCTTCATTCTTGTCTAGGTCCAGGCATGCACAAAGGACGGAGGAGTGTACAAGGTCAAGCTCGACGAGAACGGACGTCTTTCTCACCTCTTCTGGATGACAGCAGAGCAGGTGTGCAAAATTGGAATTTATTTGGTGGCGCCAACACCGCACCAGCACGTACGATTGAAAGAAAGAACAAACCCTAACACCCCATTGTCCCGAAACGATGGGTGGCGTTTCCTGTGGACACGTCCGCACGCGGGGTCTTTCAAGGCGGAGAGGCCCCGTTATTCCCGTGACGTACATGACGCGTAGTTGTTTTGCTTTCCATTTACGTTTGGCAGCCGGGTCCATCCGGGGAAGTCGCCCACCCACCGCATGTTTGTTCGTCTACATCTCGCCATCACCATTGCGACGGTGTCATTTTGTCGTATGGCATGCGCCATGTCTTGTTGCTTTGTATACCCTCACTGGCCGCCTCCCGAGCTCCCCTATGCCACGTTTTTGTACAGTACACGTTCTTTAGGATGTCGCACACAAGATGCAGTCATGGCGATGCCCCTGTTTTTTTATCGCATCGTGGACCTAACCCTGCTTCATGCCGCTTCCCCATGCCGTGCGCGACATATCTACAGATTGCTCTTGCGAGCCGATACGGCTCCGTACTCCTGTATGATGATACGGCTGTCAAGAACCGGTATCGTCTTCCTCTCGGTCTTGGTGTCGTAATCGATGGAGAATACTTCTCGCGTATTGTCTTCCAGTCACTTACGGTAGACACTACCGCAGTCACATTTGAGTGGGTACTGGAGGAGTTCAAGGCTGCCCGGGGGGCGGCTCCTGATATGTTCCTGCAAGATGCGGACGCGGCCATGGGCCTGGCAGCGGATAAGGTTTTCCCAGATGCTAGGAAACGGCGATGCATGTGGCACCTTGGTCAAAACCTCATGAAGAACCTGAAGAAGGTGCTGGGGTCAGCGTTCCAGGTGGGCGTTGTTTGTACCTTGCCATCGGGCCTCCTGCGCAGCGTAGGTGGTCCCTACTGCCGTCGTCGGTTGCTTAGTTTGACGATCCCCTAAACTACTGCTGTGGCTGTTTCATGGTTCTGTGCTCTGACATGTTCGGCATTTCTTTCTTGGTGCTTGTCTTTTTGTTCCCGACATCAAACAGGCGTTCCTCGATCAATTCTACAAGACTCGTGGCCGGCTCACGGAAAGTGGGTTCGAGGAGGAGTATGCCAAGCTGGTCGAGACGTTCCCGAAGGCGAAGGAGTACATGGCCTACCTTTACAAGGACCGCGAGCGCTGGGCAGTCTACAGCTCGGTCCTGGTCTTCAGTGCCGCCTCTTACACCACCAACAGGGTCGAATGTATGTCAAAGGAGTTTCCCTACGTAACGTGTGCGATGTAGGCGTGTTGGATATGCGCGTAATTCATCCAGTCCCTACCGTCTTTGCCATAGGCTTGCTCACGACGCCACACAGGTTGTTGTAGACTGGTTTCTTCGACCTCATTGCCTGTCGAAAACGATTGCACAATACTTCCGCGAATATGATTCTGTCGCGAAACATGTGCCTGTTTAGATAAAGTTGAGTCGGGGTTTGCTGCGTTTCCAATGCCCATCCTCTGGAGAGTGTCGTCCATGCTGTCATGTGTATCCAAGCGTACTTTCATGAAATGGCGCGACGACAACCTCGTCCATAATTGTTGCCCGCACTTTTTTTTTTGTGTTCCTGCACGCCCCCCCTCCCCCGGCCCCCCAGCGATGAACGCTCAGGCCAAACGTGTCTTGAACTCACAGGCAAGCCTGGTTCGTGTCTTCAAGTTCCTTTCCGATGCCATCGAGAAGCAAGCAGCCCGCGCAGAACTTCGCAGCGCCCAGCTACGCCTTCCATCGGTGTCAACTCCGGATACGGCCACGTACTGGTTCGGTGCGGCACTGACGACGCCGTGCAAGTTCGCGCTGGGCGTGTGGGCGTATAAGTTCATGATGGACGAGGTCGCCATGTGCGCCACGTTCTGCTCGAGTCCTAGCAATGCACTGCTTGAAGGGGCTTCCCGCGATGACGCGCTGGGCAAATTTGAGTACATTGGTATGATGGTCGTTAACGTCGAGACTGTCGCTGTGATAGTGGAGAACCACGACGGTACAGACAAACGATATATAGTCCTGGGCATGACGGACGGCAGCCACCTCTGCTCGTGCCGCACGCTGCAAGAATTAGGTCTTTGCTGCAGGCATTTTTGGGCGGCGATGCGTCTTAGTCGCAGGTACAAGTTTCACGTTGGCATCCTTAACCAGCATTGGCTGGCCGAGCAGGGGCGGAAGCCCACGAGTGAGTGGCCAGAGGGGGCAAAGCCCACCTGGGCCGTAGCCCTAAACCACAAGGCCCTATCTGAGGGCGAAAAACAGGCCCCGCTTGTCGCCACCGGCAGGCTGCAGTGTGCCACCGAGGGCGACGAGGGGGGAGGGGGAGCGGGGGCGGGGGTGCAGTGGGATGCTGGTAACGTGACGATTGAGTCTTCTCTAGTGCAACTGAAGGAGACCGGGCCCACCCCGCAAGACCGCCGATTTCTCTACGTAGACTGCCTCAAGGAGGCAACAGCAGCTGTAAGCTTGGGGGTAGAGACTGTGCCTCCCGAAGCCCTGCGGGCACTAGTGCGGCAATTTAAGCAGGGAGTGCACCAGGCGTCGAGGATAGGATCGTCCGCAGGATTGGCGGTGGCAAATCCAGCTGTCGTCCGCCTGCCGACGAGCAGAGACACCGGCAAACGAAAAAGGGCGTCTCACGAGGGGGGTGCTGTGGTTGGAGCGGCTAGACGGGCGTACAACCAAAGCTACAGTTAATTGCAGGGCCCATGCGTGCAGTGAGTGACACGCATCGTAGAAGCCCCGGCGCTCGGCCCCACATGGTTAGTCTCGGGCCGTCGTCGGCGTTCGTGTTGGTGTGCGTGCTGGCGTGGCGAATGGGAGTACACTATTTTCTTGGTTTCCGGTTGGGCTGGAGACTCGCAAGTAAATATTTGGGGTTATCATAGACCGGAAGGATGCCGGACGTGGAGGTGTGGTGTTTCATGTGCGTGTGCCTGTGCTTGTTCCGATTGTAGGATTAAACTTGCAATTTTAAACGACAGAGGGTGTCCTCAACTTGTGGGCACGCCGGCCGCACGCCGCAAGCGATTGACCAACACCACATGGCTGACGCTCATTTCCCGTAATAATAATATTTCGACCCGCCTGCTTTCAAGTTCTTCATGCCAACTTGTTCATTGCATTGGCGAACACCCATCCGCTCATTTCCTTTACCAAAGCCCCCCCCCACCCCCGTACTTTACACAGTAGTGGCCTAAAAAAAAATGTTGTCACATAAAAAAAGCGTTTCGATCTCACTACCCAGCTTTCATATGCATAACTGTCCGTACTGATCCAATACTTGACGCGGTCGATTCCCAAGGTCACAGGCTAACTTACCCTAAAAAGGTACACTCAAAAAAATGGACGCGAGGGGTCCGCGAGCCAATTTATATCAACCACAGATGCTGCCGCTGTAGTCTGGAGCCCTCTGCTGCTCCCTCTCTCTGTGCGCGTGTGTGTGATTTCGTCCTACTTTTTTCGTGGTGAGACGTGTACTAGTCTACACTTTTCAGTGTGTGTAGAGTACACTTGGTTCAGTGTGTTTTTGCGTACAACCTACAACACGACAGGAGGGGGGTAAACACCGACACGCTGATAATGTGTCTCTCTACACGCTATGTGAGGTAAGAACTGGAACTGGAAGTCAGCATCACGGGGCGGAGACAGAGAGAGGTACATCCCCTGGTTCAACCTTGCATGTCTGCTGTGTGGGCTGTGTGTAGTCTGCCCGGTTGGGGGCTGTGTGTTTCGTGCTGGTTTCGTGTAGTCTGTGGAGCAGGTGTCTGTGTTTCACTGTGTTTCTGTGTTTCTTGGTTCGCTGCTTGGTTCTGGGTTTGTGGTGGGTTGGTTCTGGAGGCGTTTTCCATCCTGCAGCATTTCGTTGCAGGACCATCCTGCAAATAGGGTCTCCCAATAATCACAATGAATAGTACTATCTGCGTGTCCCCAACTACGGGACTCCGCGGAATCAGGGCCTCTTTGGTTTTGTTTTCTTAGTTCGACACAACGAATCCATCTCTATCTATCAATAGTCCGTTTTGCTCTTAGTTCGCGGCGTTCTTCTAGCAGCTTTGAGAGCACAACAGCAGCACCCAGCACAGCACCTCAACAGAGCAAGGCAGAGGAAATTCATTGACTACAGAGCGAGGCAAGGGTATCTATATTCATAGACACCGGTGGTAACGGCCGAGAGAGATCCTGAGGACGCGCGTGCGCAGCGGCCTACTGCTGTACTTGCTACGACAAAGTTGCGCACCCGAAGACTTTGTTCAACCATGGCCGAGATTTCTACCGAAGACGCCGTGGAGCAGCTGCACCAGATGTTCGGCGACTACGACAAGACGGCCCTTGCTACTGTTCTCGAGGTACGCTTGCTCACGTTGCCTGCACGTTTTTTTAGGTACGGCCATGTGCCCGGTGAAGGAATTACTTGGGCACAAGTAAATTTCGCAAGCCTCGCATGCATTCATCTCAAAAGCCTTGTTACGGCCGGATCAATAATATGTGTGCATTATTTTTTCTAAATAATATGGTTAGTCTACCTTTCGTGCAGCGAATCTCTCCGCTTGTGCCTCCTCACCTAGGTGGTTCCGTGTTCAATCCATCCAGTCAAGTCTTCAAATCCTTCGCACGCGTGCAGGTTCCCCTGCCACCTCCCGGTGATGGGCGCTTCATCGCTCGCTGCTGTTGCCTATGGCGCCTTGGCGTGCTGCAAATCATGTTTCGCTGGTGTTGTCATTAAATGGCAACACCGTTCGACTGTGGTCATATCTCGAATGGGTAGACTAGTCTTTCTGTGTTTGTATTTATGTTTGTCAATACTCCAACATGCTTTTGATCCGTGCTGCGATCTCACTTACTGTATCCATGTCACCTCCAGCTCACCATGTGCTTGCTCGTTCAAGCCAGAGGAAAGCGGAAGAGGGGGTGCAGAACTCCAGCATGAAATCGTCGACATGCCTGATTTTCCAGCAGAGAGTTCTGGGTGGGGCGGCAAATCCAGCACTCGCAGCCATTCGCATACTACGACCTGATATTCTAGCACGGAAGTAGTGCCCAGTGTCATTCAGTACAATAGCGGCGCGAAGCGACACGAGGCCTCCTTCTTGACTTAAGGCGCTTGTTCGGACTGCCAATCAATAAAGTTGGTGTTGTTAAGCCCAAGAACGTGCGCGACAAAAGCATTGGTCCGTGTGCGCTGCTCTGCAGCCCAGCAGGCGATTTCTTGCATTCTCGCTCCCCTTTCCTGCTCCGCTATGTACCTGCCGAAGCTCATGGAACCTCCTCGCGCATCGTCTCACACCTTTCGTTCGTGTGTTTCAATGGCTGATCTCTTCTTCTCACAGGCACACGGTGGGCACGTGGAGCGCACGGTGGAACACCTACTCAGCAACCCGCAAGCTGCTTCAGGAGGTGGAGGCGGCGGCGGCGGCGGCGGCGGTGGTGGTGGGGCTTCCCGCGGCACGTAAGTGTGAAGAGATGGTCTCTACGAGTTTCCGATGCCGCTGCGCTAAGCCGACCACAGCGAGGCGGTTGAAGCAGAGCTACACTACTCTCTAGAGGTTACGCCGAGTGTCTTCAACTGTGGGTTTGCCACGTCTTCTTTCCTGCGCGCGCCCGAAAAAAGTACGCGGGAAGCGTGTTTACCCACGCTTGTCGCGCCAAGCCAGCCCTAGACCTATCGCCGCACAACGAATTATGCATAGGCCACACAGCATTATCATTCATCCTTTCAACACCGGGCTTGAGGACGGCCGCCGCAAATGCACTTCGTTCGCTGCAAGTTTGCCCCTCGCTGGTCGCGTCTCTTGCAGCCAGCTCTTTGCGCGCGCTTGTGTTTGATGTTACGAGCGACCGCGCCAACCGGCTGCTGACCATGGGAAAGACGTCAGCGGGAACGGGTAACTTCAAGGTCCCTGGAGGTGGGCCAAGTGCGAACGCCAATATTAATATCTCTACAATTCATTTCATGGAGACACACCACAGCTTCACACATGCCCTCGCCCGAACCTGGGAAGCCCCTGATGGAAAGAGCGGAGGGCAGTAAACGGGTTATTTCAAGCCAAAGCACAGCAAGGAAATTCGTTGCATGCATCTCCCAATTTGACGCTCGCACACTCCCAAGATCCAGCAGTCATCGTGTCAACAGACAGAAAATGTCAACTAGTGAAGGTGGATAGCCCTCCCTCGAGAACGTGTGTTCGCTTGTGTCTGTGTGTACATTGTTAGAAAGGCTTACTCCATTAGACTACTCAGTCAGCCGCTGACTTGACTAATGGTGTACCTTTATCTTACAAAAGATATTCGCTCACCTCATTAGCACCCGGCTGGATCACTTGGGTCTATGGCTTTTTGAGAGCAGGGATCTCCGGGGACGGACCCCTCGCCAGACGCTGATAGTTCTAGGTGCACTTTTTTGTATAGAAAAGTGATCCAGCCGGAATTTGAACTCTTGCGGGTATCCTTTGGTAGAAAGGCTTACCCCAGTAGACTACTCAGTCAGCGCGTGTTAGGATAATCCGAACTGGGGGTAGCTTGTCGCAAGACGTGTGTTGAATAGGGTGTCGGCAACTCGGCGGGCTTGCGCCGAGGAGAAAAACTTGTTGTGATTAGTTGCACCCATGTACACACACAAGCCCCGTTGAGGGGGCGACGCCGTATACAACAGGGGTACCTTGTACATCCCTGGAATCCATTCTACGTACTGTACAACACATGTCACCCGGTATTCCGCTCTACCTCTTCCATGGGAACATCCAGCACCAACCACTTGGCATTGCTACAAGTATATCTATCAGCCCCCCTGCTTGTGACTATGCCATGTCTTCATGATCTTTCAGTAACTCCAAAACACAACTCAAATCTGCAACAATAGCCTTCTGGGCTAGAAATATATTTCCATCCCCGATCATTCCAGTTGCTCCTTCGATAATCATAGCGATCCAATTGCCCCCCATCGTAGAGCACCATTCATTGAGAAGACCATAGGCAAAAATGTAAAACAATGCCACCTAGTTCTTCGATCAAACACAAATAAATCCAAATCTACCGTTCCTGTCTCACACTCATCACGAAATAACGATGAAACTCAAAATCTCCGACGTGAAGTGTTGATACGCTGATTCCACGTGAAAAATCGAAATCTCCTTCCTGCCTACCAGTTCCCTGATAAAGTGGTGCCTTACGTCGATGTGCTTCGAGTTACTGTTGGTTATCGGGTTCTGCCCGACTGAATAGCCCCCTGGCTATCCTCGAACACCGGAATACACGGCATACCTGGCAACATGAAACGCCATACCTGCCTCAGAAACAACACTTCCTTCATCACATCCGCAAGGGAGACATACTCCGCCTCTGTCGTGCTCAACGTTACGCACTTCTGCGTCCTTGAAAACCAAGAAATACACCCCCCCACACACATCACCAATCCTCCTGACAGACCTCCTATCGGCAGCCTTGCTTGCATAGTCTCCGTCTGCGAACACCTCCATGCTCAACCCTGCTACACTACCCCTCCTGAATGTAACCCCCAAGTCACTAGTCCTTACCACATACCCAAAATACCAAGACCTGCTCTGCAATGAATTTCTTTGGGAGAAGCACAGTACCGTGCTACCGCTCTTACTGCATTCGCGATATCTGGCCTCGTTTGCGTTGCCAGCCACATCAGTGATCCTATCAGCTCGCGAAAAGGCCATGATACCACTTGCTCATCCTGGTCAAACTCTGAAAGCTTCAACCCTACAGGAAGAGGGATTTCCTTACCGTACTCTACCCCAAGCTCTATCCCCAACTCTACAGCGTACGTCTGCTGCGAGATCTTCAAAGTCCCTGCATCCCAATCCCTCCCATAAAAACATCCAGAGTACCACCTCAAGTCACCAAGATTCTTCACCGGTACCATGGTGTTGAGGTCCCTACCAAATTGGTCACACCTCTCCTCCTCTCCAATCGAAAATATGTCATCCACATGTACTACCAGAGTCACTACCACTCTTCCCCCCTCGATCAACCGAAACAGACACGTATCCGCCAGGCACTGAAATGTAACCCAAACAAATCAAACACCTCGCCAACTGTGAATGCCATTGCCTTGATGCCTGCTTAAGGGCATACAGACTCTTGTTCAACTTCACTATCATACCTGACAACCTACCACATCCCCCTGGCAGACGCATGAAAACATCCTCATCTAAATCCGCCTGGACAAATGCTTGCTTGGTGTCAAAATGACGGAGAGAAAGATTTTGCTCATATGCCATCGCTGCCAACAAGGGAACGGTAGAAACCGCTACAGTCGGTGCATACTTCTCTCCACAATCTACATGTACTCGCTGCATATCTCCTCTCGCTACTAGCCGTTATTTCACACTAGTCGGCCATCCATACTCATCAGACTTCCAGTTAAACACCCACTTGGCCTTGATTACACTCTCTGGTTGCTACATTACTTCCTCAAAGGTACCAGCCTCCATCAGACCTCTGAACTCCCTCTCTACAGAGTCTACCCACAAGTCAGCATACCAGAGGACACAGCCTCCCAAAACGTTTTGGGCACGCGCAAGTCGTTGGCATAGCAATGTGGCAAGTCCGGTGCCACTTCCGAGGAATTAAAATCCCTCATCGTGCGATCAATGTCCTCGCGGGAGGCAAGCAAGGTGGCGCACGCANGATCCCTGCTCTCAATAAGCCATAGACCCAAGTGATCCTGCCGGGTGCTAATGAGCTGAGCGTATGTCATTCAGCGCCAAAGGTTCAACCATTAGATCAGTCAGCCGCTGACTGTGCTAATGGTGTAACTTCATCTTACAAACATGTGTGTGTGTGTTTTTTTTATTCAGCATCGACCGCTCTATCCGGCTGACCAATGAAAAGACGTCAGTCTCATTGCCGCTGAGAACACGAGAACACTTGTAATTCCCATGAACTGGGACCCCGTGAGGGGGCGGCATGTTGTTGTGCGTGTGTGTTTTTTTGTTATTTTTTATGCGTCGACCGCGCTATCCGGCTGACCAATGAAAAGACGAAAGTCTCAGTTCGTTTGAAGACACAAAACACTTTTAAATGCCATTAACTGGGACCCCGTGCGGGGGCGGCATGGGGGAGAATAACTGTTCTCCGGATCAAAGACAGGAACGGTAGCAACAGAAAATAAAAGCGTGTGTGTGTGTGTGTGTGTGTGTGTGTTTACTTGTTTTTGCTGCGCTCGCGGAGACGACGACGCATTTTGACGTTTGCCCTGCGGCTGCCCCTCACCGAACATGACGACCACCACCACATCAAGGTTCAGAAGAGTCCATCCTACTTGTCGCCGTACTCCCTCACCCCTGCGTTACAACCCCTAATTACGTCTATATTCGACTGCTTGTCGCTGCCCTGTCACGGTGGCAAGTGTCGTGTCCGTGCTATGCTCGCGATTGCTTGACCCTTAGCGTGCCTGCCTGTCTGCCTGTCTGCCTGCCTGCCTGCCTGCCTGCCTGCCAGCGTTCCTTCCTTCCTCCTTCTCACGGTCTCCTCGTGTGTGTTGTGTTGTACGCGGCGCTTCCGACTCGTCTTGCTGTACCAGGGACCACGACGCGGCGTTGGCGCTGCAGCTGTCCCGTGAGTGGTCGGACCAGCCGACCAATATGCCCCCGCCGCCCGTGAGGCCGCAAGGGATACCGACGCCGTATGGCGGGGGTGGCGGTGGCAGCGGCGTTGTCGGCGGTGGCGGTGGCGGAGGAGCTGGGGGCGTTTTCGCGGCCGAACGGGGCTCGAGCATCGTGCAATGTATGTTCGCTTTCGCGGTGCATTTTAGGCCGATGCTTGAAGGCAATACCTTTTTTCGTGAGTTGGCCTGGCATCTTGGCTTGGCGTCTCAACTCGTGAAGAAGTAATGGATGAGTTCGTGACTATCCTTCTGGTTGACTCTGGAGTTCGATGCGATCTCTATTGTCATGTGTGTGTTTTGTGTATGTTTTTTTTTGTTCCCCAACGTATGTTTGATGCTTGTCTGGACCCAAAAAATGCCAACGAGGGTTGACGCCTTTGGTCGCTTGCGACAGGCATCGTGTTCCCTCTAGTAAGCCGTGCCATTTGTTGCCCCACGGTCTGACCTGGCCGGTGAGAATCCGATCCGGGATAGGCCACTCAAAGGACGCTTGTGTTCATTCTTGCACCACCGCGTCGGGCGTCGAGTACTTCCCGTACGGCCCCCCTTCTTTCGCGAACGCGGACCCTCGTGCTTCCTTCCACAAGCGCGGCAAGTGCGCGGGTCCGAGTTTGTGGAAGAGGGGCCGTACGGGAAGTACTCGACGCCCGACACGATGGTGTAAGAACGAACGCAAGCGTCTTTGCAGTGGCCTATCCCAGATCGGATTTATGTCAGAAATTTCGCAAGGACGCCGATTTTTCTGTGCGTGGTAAGGAGGT